AATTAAAAAAGTAAAGTAGAAGAAAAAAGCAGAAAAAAAATATATTTTAAAAAATAAAAGAGATGAAAGTAAAAAAAAGTACAAGTGAATTTCACATCCAAAACACACGCAATGCACATTCATAAATTAGAAAACCACAAGTTTTTTTCTGTTATCTTTTTTTTTCTTTAGCGTTTCATACTAAATTTTTACCCACAATTTCATTGGTTTTCTTTTTGGTTAAATTTTTGATCCAAAAATATCAAAAAACAACATATCATTTGTTGCTGCTGTTGTTTTTTTTTCTAATAAACATCAATTCAACTGAAAACATTAGCATCGTGGATCATAGATTATTGGGTGGCCCAAGTGCGTATCCGTAAGACGGATGTGGCGGTGGATGTCCAACGCCCCAAGGCTGTGGCATCGACGGTACCGCTGATACCGTCGACCATCCCAGGTTCACGCAGGTGGACTTCTTCTCGGGTTCCGACGTTTCCGTCTGTGTAGTTACCATCACCTTCGGTGGATTAGCAGGTAATAGCGCCGAATGCTCGTTCTGCTCTTCGGTACGGTTCTTCTCCTTTTTGGCTTTCATGCGTCGATTTTGAAACCAAATTTTTATTTGCCGATCCGTCAAATGCGTTTGTGCCCGGAGTTCTTCGCGTTGCTTTTTGCTTACATAACTGCTCTGCTGAAATTTGCTTTCCAACACCGACGTCTGATATCGCTGATAAGTTTGCCGACCCTTCTTCGATTGTGCTGAAAATTTTCCGCCAAAATATACACCACCCGCACACAAGGTGAAGAAGAAAAGAAATATGTATCTATGTATATATGTAAAAGAAAGTTTGTAACAACAACAATTATTATTAATGATGATAATAGTAGTAGTAGTGGTGATAATAATAATAATAATAATAATAATAATAATAATAAACAATAATAATAATAATAATAATAATAATAATAATAATAATATAATAATAATAATAATAATAATAATAATAATAATAATAGCTAATAACAATAACAATAATAATAACAACAACAATAACAATAACAACAACAATAACAATATAAATAATAAAGTATTGTTTTCCTTTCATATATAAACTAATATTTTCTAGTAATAATAATAATAATAATAATAATAATTATTATTATTATTACAGTAATAATTATAGTAAAAGTTTAATGAGGCATAACAAAACCAGAAGTTTAAAAACTTAAGATGAATAAGAAAGTCGGAAAGTGAAAACCTGCCAAAGAAAACTGTTTCTCAAAGTTAATAGAATCAAAAAAAATGAGCAAAAAAAAAAAA